GGTTTAGCCCTCGACCTTATCACGGACTGCATGAGTTTGCACCAGCTTCAGGATTTAAACATTCACGCGTATTGTGTAAAGTCTCGGGGACCAAAATCGTCACCACGAAAGTGAACTTAAACTGAGAAAGTAGAAAATCTACGGTTGAAAACGTTAGACGACACTTGGCTTTCTCTGATACAGTTCGCGCAGTTAAATTCGGTGCCCTGTGCTTTATGCTCCATTGGATAATGCTCTTTCAAACTCAAGCCGCGGAACGCCCCATCTATCACCCTTCAAATTTTCATGCGTACTAAATTCCTGTTGAGTTATTTATGCCTCAAATTAAGCGACTTTATTAGCATGCTGAACGCACACGGAGCTGGGCGCACTGATCTCAGTTTGGTGATTAGTGTAGCTCGGTTATTCATGGACCAGTAGGCTTATTTCTGTAGGCTGATCCATGTTAGACTGCACCGGTTTAAACATACAGCCTGAATGTACTCAATCCAAATCGCACACTGGTGGTCTAACTAAGTTTAGGCGTGATGATGTAACGTTATTCTGTTGAAACGGACAAAATCTCCACTCGTTAAACTGGGAAAAGATGATGAGGACTGTGTTCGTGATAAAGATGTACAGGATTTCTTACTCCATTAATGAACCGAATGAATCGATCGGTTTGTGATTAGCCGATCGGTTAACGCCTTTGGTTTTACAGAAATTAGCAAGTGTCACCTCATCAACAGTCTGACAGCTGTTGTTGCTCTGATAACGGTGTTTCTATGAGCCAAAGAAACTATACGATGTATACGTATCACCAGTCTTGGAAACAACCTGAATCGATGCAACTATGACGATAACTAAAGTTTACTTCCGTCTATAGAGACTAGGTGTTATCCGCTTTGAAAAATTCATTGAGTTACATGATCGAAAGAGTTCCGCTCGGTACATACAACTGTGACGCGCCAGCTGCGAGATAAAGCCAGAATCGCCTTTGATAACACTCAGTCAGATCTGGTCTCCTTTCAGAAGACCTTGGTAAACAATCGATAATTTTTATTTGAGCAACGTTCACTTTTGACACAAAAGCTTCATCAGACCAAGTGAGCAGGTCACCAAATTTGCCAGGTTATAAGACAGACGGAGAACCAACCAGTAATTCCTCTTCAGATTATCACACTAGCTCAGTACTGAGTGTCAATTAACGGCTCTTGTCGGTTAGCGTGGTTGTCAAAAGCTTGCTCTGGTGGTTTGGGGAAATTTCACATTAATTCTGATCGAGTTTGGTTCGTTAATTTCCACTTAAGTGTGCTTGAATTGATGATTCAGCACAGCTGCCGCTGATAGATTCCGTTAGTCTTTGTGTGCTTGTTAGTGCTCCGGCAATTTAATTGGGGGGGGGAGAGAATGCAGATGATGACTACACCTCCTTCAGATGACCGCACACCAACACGTGTCAGCTCGACTGATCCAAACTGTTCTCCACACGGTTGCCAGTTCCGTGCCTTATATTCTGTTAACACTGTGATGCTTGGGGATTTCTACCGCCTCGGCTACTAGTCTGTTTGACGGGGACCGTAGTCCTCTCTTCAAAGCCTCAACATTTTCTAAATCTGTTTTGTGTTCCGTGTCCAGTGCGTGTTCCACAATTGCCGAGTCTTTCAGTAACGCTTGATATTCACCGCTTTTCTCCGCGGCTTGTCTATATTCCTCTTATGCTCTCCTATTCTGGTGTAAATTTCCCTGGCCGTCTGTCCTATACAGACCTTGGTGCAGTCGTTACACTTAGTTTTGTAGACACAGTCCCTGGTTCTGTTTACCGGGAGACGATCCTTCAATTACACCGGTGCAGAGCGCAGAGTGTCCCCCTCTGGAAGCTACTCTTACGTTGGCCATGTTTATAATTCTTCGAACGACCACCAATGTCCCTAGTTTATATGCAATAACAGCGGTCCCGATCCATTTCCTGTTGGGTTTCGCTAACGGTACCAACATCCTTCGCAACTGACGTCTAATCAAACTAGCCGGATATCCACTACCCTGAAGTTTGTTCTCTACTTCAATTTGGGCCACTGTCCGATCAGCTTCTTCTGTGCAGAGAGCCCTTACACGCTTCATTCATTCATCGACAACATGGCATCAGTGTTCAACACCGATGCTTCACTGCCGTACAACCATGACTTATTTGAAAGCCTTATTGTAAATAAAAGAGTAAAGGTGGACGATGGAGGGACTTAGTGCTAGCTTAACACAATCATTCCGAGGTGCCTACACCTCCAGACATTCACTCAGGCAGTCTGATTAGAAACTGACAACAAGAACGCCACTGACATCGGTTGGCAGCCATATCTTGTAGTGTCTCCAACCAGGCACAGTGAGGATCACGCGGTCCCCATCCTGGAAGGCGAGTAGCACCGACAGCACCCAAGCGTTTCGTGACCTCCTTCATACTCCTCTGCCAAGTCAAGGGTTGGCCACCTCTCTGTTTACGCCACTCCGAATTGGGCATGGAAAACAGTACTCTCTTCGGCAAACGATGGTTCGGCATGCGTAAAACATGTCCCAACCAACGCAGCCTCTGGTGCTGGACACATTCTTCAATGGAAGTGCCCGTTACACAACCGAAAACGCGCTTTCTAACTGCCTCGTTACGGATTCGCCGACACCAACTCACACTAGCTATGGTTCTGAGACAACGATTGTCGAACACCTGAAGACGTCTCAGTTCCGCTGCTCGAATAGGCCAAGTCTCACAGCCATACAACAAGACAGTCCGTACTGTAGCTTGATATACACGTCCCTTCAGATTCAGGGATAAACCATTCTGACGCCATAGGTGTCTCAAGTTAGCAAACGTGACCC